GGATTGTTCTCAACAATTGTTAGTCAGACTAGATACAATTATACTTAAAGGCACTCAGTTTCAAAGCTTTATTTTAAAGATTATCCTCTCAAAATAGTTTATAAGGTGGGGAACAATTTTCCTTTTGTAATTAACCTAAACAGAAAATATCTAATCAACTAAGACAAGCCTAGAATAATTTTTGCTTTCAAATGTGAAGATTTAGTTGGAAATCTGTGCATGTGCCTACTGCAGTGACTGGGGGCTCCCAGATTGCCCAGGATGGGCAGGACTGGCAAGAGCTCTTTAAATGCCCCACTGCTGACAAGAGGATCTACATGACATACCCAGCTGAGGCACAGCAACTACTACTCTTCACTTACTGTGGGACACTTTCCACCTGCAGACAGCAAATGGTCTGAATCACTCATTACTATCATGAACTAAACCAACACTGTAAAAACTTGGGTACCACAATAGCAGGGCAGAATAATCCAGCCATGCACTATCATTTCCAGTATAAGGCAGACACTATTAATGGCTTTGTTACATAATGACCTATTTTAGATCTATATATACACACATAGATGTATATATCTTTCATATTAAAATAACAGAAGGACATTGCTTAGAAATCATGGTTGTCTCTGCTTCCATCTGGAAATTCTGACATGATGTCTTATAATTTGTCCCCACCTCTATGCTGCATCTCTCCTCTTTTGCTGCTGTTGAGCTGACTTAGAACCAAATCGCCAACAAACCTCACCATCACCTAATTCATCAGTAAACTCCTACGAAGGAGGAGGAGGAGGAGGAAGGAAAAGAAGAAGAAACAAACCTGTCCCTTTAAAAACCCAAGCATTTAAGCTGCTTGTCAGTCCTCTTCCTAACAAGGCCACTTGAATGTATTCAGGAATATTTGCATAAATGCTCACAGTGAGTTCACCCTGGCAGCTAGCGCTAATGGTACATAAAGTAATTTAGTCACTTCTCTTAGGCATCCTGTCAGGGTGATAAGCACCCCCTCTTTGCCTTGTTGCATATTAGATCATTAGATAATAAAGTGTTAGAGCATGCAAACTGACAGGGTCTCAGGGACTATCATTTTTCGAGGGCATTGCATTCTGCCAATAAGGAAAAATAATAGAGAAACTGATGCTGCAATTGGCTTTACATTCTTGTAAATCCATTCAAAGATTTGGGGGAAAAAAAGAATTTTTACTTCGTAGCGATTTGAGAGTTTAAACTGGAAACTTTGCAGACATCTGCAGCAGTGGACTTCATGCTGGTAAACTTGAAAAGGGTTGTTGCAAACCCTGTCAGAATTCTCGCCTTCCATAAGCTAGTCACTTAAATTGCATTGGAAAGATTTTGCTTTTAAAATTGACACCCTGGGATGAACTACAAGCTGAAATACATCTTACTGGTTGGGGCCTACTGGCTCTTCACTATACATCTTATTATACATGTACAATTTAGAAAGGTCAACCACATCGGCTTTCTGGTTTACCATAAATATAAAACAAGTGAGGATCCAACTATTTGTGAATGAAAAAGTGATAATTATTGAAGACCACAGATTACTGTGGTTTACCCTATTTATACCACACAGAGATGTATAAAATAATTGGCCTCTGCCAGCTATTACTTTTGAAAGATAGATATACGTATTTGACTTATGAGCTTCTCAACCCGCTGGTTTCAAGGAGGACAGTGTGTGGATAGGAAACCATGACCTAGGTTTCTAGTTATATTCAGAGAGCCAAGCTACAAAAAAAGGAACTTTCATTTTACTGCCTGACAAGCAAGACATAAATAGAGATGTGTTGGATGGCACAAAATTAATCCAGGCTACCTGCTAATGAGATGGTAAAACCCAAATGTGGAGACACCAGGCTCCTGAGTGGCTCGAGAGGTAAAGCTCTCTTTCCAGATTTTGGCACCTGAAGTCTCTTTTAGGTGTCACATAAACTGCAACTCCATGTTTAAGAGCAGCATGTCCCAACACAACTTTGTAAGGAAAAATAAGCTGGGTATTGTCTAACTAAACTAGGCAACCAGCACACCTTCTTGCTACATCCCCTCCTGCCTTTCCCCAGTCCTCACACAGTCAGGCATTCATCTCCATCACGATCAGATATTTGTGTTAAACATCTAGAAAAGCACATGCAAATACATTTGGTCAAGGGCATGTTATAGTTAGATCCCAGTATTCAAAACCCTATGATGAGAAGTTGCTCACCAGAGAAATAAACCAGTGACAAACTAGCCATGACCACGTCAGCTTCCCATTTCACCACTGGCAGATACTGTCCAGGTTGACCTGCCCTCCCCCTGAGGGAGGCATGAAAGCTGAGAAGAGGAAAGTCAAACAAACTGTCTCTGCTACTTACACTTGAAGATACTATCTAAGATAAAAATTCCAAAAACTGAAGAAAAATAATATACTTCAGGACTCAAACTAAAAGTAAAAATTAATTTCAGTGGAGGAAACTATCATCTGTTCCAACAGGTCTAAGGTTCATGGTGTTTGCCCGAAGTTCAACAGCATTAAGCACAGCTGAGACTTTTCCTATTTTTTTTTTCTTTCAGTTAAGTGTTCTAGACATCTAATACCAACATTTAAAACAGTTACTGGATTTTTTTTTAATTCTTTTTTTTCCTGTCTCTTGGACTCAAATATGCATAGAAATCCTGGAGAGCTGGATTGAAGGATTTAGGTTAAAAAGAAAGAGTGCAATTTTGCAGTGTGGAGATTGCTATTCAAAAGTAAGAATTTACTAGCAGTTGCTTTATGAGATTGCTTGAGAGGTGCCTGAGAAAGTAGATTAGAAAAATCACCTTTCCCACAAAATGCACACATGGAGATATTTTGCAGATGTTGACTTTTAATGTTAGCACAGTAAGTAGGGTTTGTGTGGATATGTAAGCATAGCATTATCTTTTTTTGTTTCTTTTGGCTAACGGAATCCCTCAGGTAGCAGGAGTGGGAAGAATAGCTGTGGTAAAATGAGATGCTATTACACCATGCATGTGAATAAAAACTTTTACGTATGAGAGAGTAAGTATTCTCTTGACCAAAAGCATGCACTGAGAAGTCTCCAAGGGGGCTGGGGTAGGGAGGGGGGGAAGAAAAGATAGCATCTACTTTGGTAGGAATATAAGTTAAAATAGAAGTGTTTTTTTGAAAGACTAGACTTAATGGAAAGATTATAAAGCTGAACAGAGACATTTCCTTCTGTAATGTTCTGCCTTCTGATAATTAATAAAGACAGAGTTCGCACATTCCTTATAAAAATTCAGCAAAAATTATGACAGTGGTTTGTTTATTAAATTAGGTTGTTGGCAGGATGAAAAAAAAAATTCTATAACATGAATTATGGCTGAAAATGGCTCATAGCCTACATAAAAAGTTAGAGCTAAACAAATACAGATGTAAGTTTTGTTTATATAATGAGCAACACTGCTGAGCTAAGAATTTTAGGTTAGTAAGTGTGAACTACAGAGCCGATTCTGCAAACACTTATCAATACCCTCAGCTTTACTGACACAAGAAGCCTCATTGATCCCAACAGGGCCATATGTGCGCATAATCTTAAATACATGCATAAGTGCTTGCAGGAGAGATGCCTGAAAGCATAAACAGAATAGAAATTTATTTCCACCGGAACCACACATTTGCCCATTTCTCCGTATTAATAATTTCTTTTAACATATCTAGTTAACATTTTTTTTGAGTGTCATTCACTTTCCCTGAGAAAATCTTATCTGGTTTCTTCAAGCTCTTTGGAAAAAACTATTTAATTATTCATCAGATCCTTAGCAAATATTTGTGAAACAAAAAGGACTGGTGCCTTCTACACTCAACTACTCAATGGAAGTTGAGGGGACTCTTCTCTTAGAGGGAGCAAGCACCTATTGAATTTAGGATTATAAACAGCTTTGAAGACAAAGAGCTATTCTACCAAGCTGGAATAGGGAGAAGGGAGCAAAATGCCCTCTGTTTTTGTTTTCTTTTTCAGTAGTAGTCATCAACTTGGAGGACAAAGAGCAAAACAAAACATTAATCAAATCCAGATTTTTCAAAGTACATTTGCACTCAACAACTCCCATTTTAAGCACCTACAGTCACCAGCACATGTTCTCTTCCAGGACCAGCTGATATTACGGAAAAGATTACTGTCCCCCAAACTGCTTCCACCCACATGCCCCCTCCCCACCCTTCCTGGGGTTTACTATCCCTTCAGAAAAGCCAGAAGAATTGCCTTGCACCATTTCTCCTTCAATCATTTCAGCAAAATAAGCTAGATTGGCAAAGAGTTATTATTTAAACAGTTTAACTCAAATGAACTTATTTGGACCGAAGGAGACTAGGGAGCAATCAGACAACGATCTTAGCTGGCATGTCCATGGTGGAGAACAGCCTGCAGCTGGGAGGAGAGTCAAGCTGCTGTGGCAGGCAAGGAAGAGCAACTTCCTCCACTGGCACAGCTGGAGCCAGAAGAGAACATTCACCCATGGCTTGAGTAAGCAGATGGATTTCCAAAAGGGCTCTGCTTTCATTTAAGGCAACTCAAAGGAACAGCTGGATCTCCTTGAGAGCTCGGTACTCTACAGACAGGAGAAACCCAATCCAAAATCTGGGTGCTGAGCATTTCAGAAAATATGCAACATCCTTCAGAGGCACAGACAAAAATCAAGGCAATAGGGAAAATATCAGACTCCAATTTTGGATGCTGAATAGATGCAACAAAAAAAAAAAAAAAAAAAAAACCACACCACCACACTACACTGACACACAGGACAGACTCTGCACCTATGTTTGCCTACCGGTTTGTCATTACACCACATTTAGTGCTGACCTACTTGAAAAATTCCCCCTTTGGTCTGGAGGCCAGTCTCTTTAAAATATCTGGTCCCAAAGGTATAAACTATTACAGAACAATTTGAAACCAGAAACACAAACCAAATAAATCCACATTTAAAGTAGCAATGCCAACCAATGAAAATGATATGCCTACCATGTTCCAGATAAGAAGGCGTACCTTCCGAGGGATCGAGTCTTCGAGCTCTCCGCCCGTGCTTGGAATTGTTGTGTACAAACATATTGTCCGACACTGCCAACACATGGCCATCAACATTGACTGTTGTAGACACCACAACCTGCAAGCACAAGAGCAAAATGGAGGAAAATTTGAATATATACATATGTTTTTTAAGAAGCACAGAGTGTAATAAACTCAGTTAAATAAATAACAGCTGGAAGCTGTAGAAAATTGCACAGCTATTTCACATAATAACTGGTGCTTATGCTGTACAAATCTAACAAGAGATGCTATTGATGAGCGGGTCTTTGGCATCACAAGCGTTTGATGCAGTTTTAAGTCAAATTGCAGAGTTTGTAGCTGCATGGCAGACGGCACACTGTTAACCATCATTTTAACAAGAAGATCTTTATTAAGTATTTCTTCCCCTATGTACAAGGGCAGCTGTGTTTCACCCTAAATTATCCTTCAGTTTCCACGCTGAAGTAGATAGAGCTGTTGACATTGCAAATTAGAATCGATTCAGAATAAAAGAAAACAAAAGAGTATTTTGTGAAGTTGCAATGCGAGTTGTTGCATGCCTCCCCCCACCCTTCTCTACCGCTCTCCCCTCAGCACAGTCACTATAGGTTGTTGAACTTGACCAAATTTCTCCTGAGCTCTATCTGCGGGAGTACATATAGGTATGTTTGTGTACACATGCACGCTTGACAGTGGGGTCTTGATCTGGAGAACACAACCCTATTCATCCAGTGTCAGAATTATTTGTATTTCTCAACTTATCTCAATGTCAACACCTGGGATTCGGTTTGAGGTGAGGGGAGGGAGACGGCGAAGCACTGCCCTGGAGGCAGGATCCGAGACACTTCTGCTCCCCAGAGTAGCCCAGGGTGGGAGAGGAGTCAACACAGAAGGGGCCAACAGGCAAATGTTGGGGCCAGAGTAGAAGACCCAACAGCTCAGAGGTGTCCAGAGGGACCTCTCAACCTTGAGGCTCAGCAGGCACCATCCTATAGGAAATCCTTGTTCAGGCTGATGGCACTCAAGCCACAAACCATCGTGGAAGAATGGGGTAGACACACAGGGCAAGTCCCTGGCAGAGCTGCAAGCTCATCACACCAAGTCTTGTCCCACCCCACTCAGACCAAGGGAGCTCACACCCTCCATGGCTTTCACTCAGCTGCTCCTCCCACAGCCTTTCCCCAACAAAATATGGCATTCCCAGGGTTTTACCCCAGCCTAAGACTTGGCCTTCAGCTGGCTGCTGGTTTGCCAGGAGCATGCATCGCCTTCGAGAACTTCAACTAAAACAATAAGAAGAAATGACCTACACTTCTCCTTACATTAAACAGGGAAAGGGATTAAAAACTGAAACCCACAGAGATATGTTTATTCATGCGACCTCTTACAACCAAATATAATAATTGTCTGTTAATTGCAGTTTCAGCTCCCACCTCGTGCTTCAACATGTGAAACAGCAATCAGCAGCTCCTGTTTAATCCACCTATTATGTTGACTAATTAACTTTGCTCGACAGTTTATTTCTTCCTCCATTATCAGCCCCTGTCAGCCGCAAGCACACTGCCGCAAAGGGGGACCTCAGCCCTTTTGATTGATCACCGATAGATTGACATGCAGATTAATTTAATTAGAATCACCTCACTTGAGAAATGAAAGACAATGGCAAGGGGGCTAATAGATCTGCTCTTATAATGAGGCAAGCCTCCAGAGCCACAGCAGAGGATTTCTGATTTATTTTGCTGAATTCCCCAGTCGCTCTGAAAGGCTCTCGCTTTAATTGTTCTTGGTTTTGAGAGGCTTTAGCCTCTGAAGAGGTGAAATGCTTTACAAGGATTGGCAAACATTGCTTCAACTCTCTCAGGAAGCTGCTGCCTCTCAAAGTTGGTCAAATGGGGACACTTAAAGGATCGCTTACAACAATTCAATTTCATCACTTGAGTTGGATCTAAAAAAAAGAAAAAAAAACCTACAGAAAAAATTTTCCACCTATTTCTGACCACCGATTAAAATGCTCAAAAATATAAAGTAAGCAACGCTGCTAAATTGCCCACAGCTAATCCCAAAGTCTTTGTCTTCAAAAAGAGGAATACAAAATAGAATATTTTACATCTAAAGGATCTTAAAACCATCCCGCAGAATGGCATTCTAGGCAATAGATTTTTGTGTGAGTTTTAAGTGAAAGATATTAAAATACAGAATAAATGATTCAAGAGCTCTTACAGATGGAAATTTGGGGAAAAGAAAGCACCAAACACTGTAGGTAAGTTTTTCTGAAATCAAACTAAGGGGAAAAAAACCCCAAGTCCTATATATAAACTCCAAAAGGGATTTCAAAAGTAATTTATCCTTTGCATTCCTGAGGGATCAAATAAAGTTTATGATATTTTCAATATAATATGATCTTATAGTAAGTGGCTCAGGGTTTGCAATCTTATTTGTGCACTTGCAACCATTGTAAATTCTTTGCAACTGGGATTTTGAGCCAAATCCTTAGCTGGCATTACCTGTCACAGTTCCATGATTGATGCCAGCTCCTTATCTTCTCCTATGGCTCTGCTTAGATGCATATGAAAATTAACACTATTACAATTAATAACAATGGCTACAACATAAAATATTTTCCCTAATCCTAAAACCACACAGGTACACACAGATTTCCCACTGAAGCTTGATCCATCCTGTGCAGAGATCCAAACTTTTGAATGTTTCTAGAAACAGGATTGCAGAAAAAAAAATAACGGGTCAAGAGTAACAATAGCAAGTTAGGTCTCAAACCTGCAAAAAATCTCTGTGTAAGTAGCTGTCTTTATACACACACCTTTCTAGGGAAGAACTTAAGGAACCAACCCTAGTGAGGTCAGTTTTCTGTGAGTAAATCTACATTTAATTTTCCCCTTCTCAGTTTTCCGAAACTGTTGATGCAACACATTTTGAATTACTTAACAGTGTCTTCCTACCTCCCTCCTGAACAGAGAGTTTGATTTACTACAAAGAGACCACATTGGTGTGGTTCTTCAGTGTCGTTAGCAGAAGAAACTATAAAAGGAATCCCCAAGAGAATCTGTTTCCAGTCTCAGGAAACGCACAAAAAAAAAGTGGTTACTTTATGTATCTGTCTGAAAAAAAAAAACCAAAACGATTATTCATACTGCACCTGTAAGAAGCAGCACACGCTTACTGCTTAATTCTTTAAATGCAAAATCTCACTAATACAGGAATATTGAACATGCACTGCACTAACAAAATATTAATGCCCCTAATTATTAACCGAGAAAAAATAGATCATGAATATTGTGTGCCACAGTTACTTACTTGGATCGCTGCAGAGCACTTACATACTTGCAAGTTCTACTCATATTTTTAAATCTAAAAAAAATACTACACTCTCCTCATTTTGATTTTGAAATAACTGGGATATGTTCAAGCACATGCTAAAACTAATTTGTGGAGAAATCATAAAATTAGGGGGAGGGGAGAGCCAAAGTATATGTGGAACGGGCACTGAGGCATCACAGACCATAGCAAGGGGGAAAGGCACACTACAGTTTAATAAATGATTAATGAAGTGCTGACACATTAATGTAAGCACAGGGACAACCAGGCCTGCCAAATCTCAAACCTTTCCAAATTTTGTCAACAAAACACAGTTTTAATTTGGGACAGGCAAACACAGAAAATAATTTTGAGCTTTAGCTTTAGCCCTTCATAGATTTTGAATTTAAATCCTGTATCAACACCAGGGGAGACAGAGGTATGAAAGAAACACATCAGTTTACAACTTTCTTCAATGAAGCTGGCACTATCAACTGCATTAACATCTTATGGCTCTGTGAATTATTCTGCCTGCCATTAAATAGTGCAGTTTGTGAATACTTTGGAGTTTAGTTTAAAAAAATACATATATTCAGAGACCAGGAGCCTGGAGATCAAGCTATTCATCCACGTTTAGCACTCGGCCTGTTTATTTGTTATAGTACCTCACCTAATACATCAAAATTAAGCATTGCATGACTCCTCATTTTTAACCACAGCCCATTAACCTTTGCTAACTGATTAAGACATAGCATGTTCCTTGTGCTTTTAATTTCCTCTGATGTATAGTGAGGGAACCGATATTTTTGCGATGTCCCCAACATTCAGCAGCAAAGGCAGAGAAAATCTGATTAAGATGATTTCTGGGTTTGAAGTGTTAAATTAACTAACTCCCATGTTCGCTCCTGTTTGAAAGCTATGCAGAATTGGCTTGAGCAACATCTTTATTTTCATCACCACTTGGTGACCTCTTCTTACAATGTGTTGACTTCTTTATTCTAGTAACACAAAATCACTCTCAATTTAACAAGACACTTAAAAAGGTGCCCACCTTAAAGCACATAAGTACAATACATTCAGTAATTTTGCCCACACGCTCGAGGACAGGGCAGGCACTTAATTACCATGTTGAGTTGGGCTACAGCTCTCACTGCTATTCTTCAGCCTGGGTTTTTTTTGGTTTTTTGGTTTTTGGTTTTTTTTTGCCTTTCCCTTCTCTGGGGATGGAGCCTTGCATGTCCAAATTCCATTATCTGGGATTCATGAAGCATCATCTCTGTCTCTTATGCAAATTTGCAATATGACACAAGTGGCTTCAATTCAAACATGAGTGGCAGCATCCCATGGAGGCAAACTAGCAGCCCAAGCTGAGGAAGAGGTTGTGGTAACAGAATCAAACAGCATGGCAATCTCTAAGTGACTTTCAAGGTTTTCATAATAAATGAATGTTTGGGGTTTTATGCAGTGACTCAGTCTGAAAAGTTTCCTCTAAATTAAAACTTGACATGTGTCAGTTTGCAAGCAATTGTGCTAAAACAAGAACAACAAGATAACTAGGGCACCTGGGTTTCATTAATTACAATAACATACAAAACTTAAGTTGTATGAATGAGTGCTGAAAAAGAAAATATGAACAGAGTTCACCCCTCATACCATCTAATTATTACTATTAGTATTATTATTATGATGATGACTAATTGGGGCACTACATCCCATCCCACCAAGACTGATGACTTATTGTGACGAAGAATACAAAACCAGACTGAGCATCTGCTCCGCAGGGTTTCTGGAATAAAAAGGCAAGGTTGGACAAAGGTGACAATACACGACATCACCAAATGTTTTGTGCAATTGGGCTGATGAAACACACAGAAATGAAATTATTTTCTTAAGGACAGGGAGTCTGTAGCACAGTTGAACACTCATCACAACTGTCTTGAGTCCCTGCACAGTACTTGACTTCTCCTCCCCAACTGTCTCCTTCTGCTAATAGAGACACAGCTAACACAGCCAGGGCCAGCACCGCTCCAGCACACACTTTTGCTGGCACTTGACACCGCTCCAGTTGTCACATGCCTGAACATCTCAGACATGCAGAGAAATACATATCCTCCCAGGTCCACCACTGCTTTTATGTTAGGCTTATCTCACAACTACATTTGCATTGAACGTTCAGGATAAAACTTCCTAATTCATTTCTGTATGTGAGTCTGAACGAAGTTTCACACACAGGTTGCCTGAATCAACACATACTCTGCTGCTTCTCTGTACTTTCTTAACCTCTCTAATACCATATGATAATCAGACAAATCTCTGCTGCAGGAAAAAAAAACCCAAAACTACTAAGAAAGGAAATTTTCCACAGGACCTGTCCTTAGGTAGTGCAAGACCTTTGTCCCTAGCCCTCCACTGCTTCTCCCACCAAAACCATAATCTGTGTTCTAGCAACTCCTAGCAACTTTTGGGGACTGATGAATGAGAGACCATGTCCAAAAGATGGACAAATCTCTGGGAAGTTTAACAGTCCAGTGCAGATAGCAGAAAAGGAAGGGCAAGTCTCCATTTTTTATTGTGAAAAGAACATGCTCCTGTTTAAAAAGTATCTGGAAATACCTCATTCTCATGCTTTTTAACTGGAACTTTGACATAACGATCAGAGGCCTTGCAAGTCACTGGCAATATTTCAAAGGCAGCTAATAGCAAACCCTCCACTGACTTCACAGGGGGCCAGATGTCACTTGGTTCCTATGCAACACTGTCTCAAACATCTAGGTCCATCATATCATTGAGATACTGTGTGTATGCTTGGTCCTTTTCACCCTAAGAAATGATCATAGAATCATAGAATCATTAAGGTTGGAAAAGACCTCAAGGATCATCCAGTCCAACCCACACCACCTAACTCACTAAACCATGTCCCTAAGCACCACATCTACACGTTTCTTGAACCCCTCCAGGGATGGTGACTCCACCACCTCCCTGGGTGACTCAACCACCTCCCTGGGCAGCCTGTTCCAATGTCTGACCACTCTTTCAGTGAATAAATTTTTCCTAATATCCAGCCTAAACCTTCCCTGGTGCAACTTGAGGCCGTTTCCTCTTGTCCTATCACTTGTTACTTTAGAGAAGAGGCCAGCACCCACCTCACTACACCCTCCTTTCAGGTAGTTGTAGAGAGTGATAAGGTCTCCTCTCAGCCTCCTCTTCTCTAGACTAAACAACCCCAGCTCCCTCAGATGCTCCTCATAAGACCTGTGCTCCAGACCCTTCACCAGCTTTGTTGCCCTTCTCTGGAATCACTCCAGCACCTCAATGTCCTTCTTGTGGTGAGGGGCCCAAAACTGAACACAGGATTCAAGGTGCGGCCTCACCAGTGCCGAGTACAGGGGCACAATCACTTCCCTAGTCCTGCTGGCCACACTATTTCTGATAGATTTCCTGATAAATGGAGTCTGGACTCTGTAGAGTCTGTCTGTTTTATTTTAAGTCTGTTACTAAAAGAGCAACAAGTTCAAAACTAAAAAAAAAAAAAAAGAAAAAAGAAAATAAACAAAAGCAGCTATTGTAAAACAATAATCCTGGGCACTTAACAGAATTCTGCGAGCTTCAATACCACCCGGTATTATAGTATGAGTGGTTCGCTCAGCTGAAAGTGATTAATTTCTTGAAAATGCTAAGGTCACACTAATTGACATGACCTGCGTAATTAAGCAGTCTCTGTTTACACATGGAAAGCTCAACTGCTGTGAAGCTGGGTTTGTATGACAGAATGTCTTTACAAGTCAAGAGATCAACAACCTTTCCTATGTCCTACCTACTCGCCGACACAGGCTCCTGATTGCTGTTCTGAGAGAACACGCAAAGGCATTACCATATGAAAATCAGCCTCGAGCCTGGACAAGCACAAACCCAGCAGAGGGTACATGTTGTGAAGCAAGCTCTGACAGGCCCCAGGGGTGACTGCTTGGCCTAAATCCCTGTGCTGCTGAGAGTCCTTTTTCCACTTTCTCCTTCAGTGATAATGCCCTCTTGAATCACAGGAGAAACGTGATGGAGGGAGGCATGTGGGGTGAGAAGCCAAGGGCTCTGCCATGCTAATGCTAGCTCTTATACTGATTAATTTAATCCCTGTGGCCACATCTCCTCACTTCTGCACTTCTATGCTGAGAGGTGCAAATAACACCCTTCTGCCTTCCAGCATTGTTGCAATTAAGCAGTTCAACAAAAGACACATGTTCTACATATTATTGCCATTTATGTAGCATTTAGGACTTTTATTTAAGTGCGACAATGCTGTAGAATAAGCAAAGAAGGTCCTGAGCTACTGCAGAAAGCAGCATCTTTTGGAGTCGTCTTCCTCCAGAGACCCATGTAGTCTATGGAAAAGAAATCTCCTGTTTCTTCCTCAGAACCCTGAGGCAAATCCCCACTCACAGACCCTAGGGTGTTTTCTCCCTGGGCCATATCCACTCCCCCCATCAAAAGAGAAGGTCCTTTGCCTCCCTATCCCATATTTTTATTCAGCATACAAAGGCATTGGAGCAACTGTTTCTCAGCATTGCCACCACACCACTCTGCTGCCAGCACTGGGGAAGGCAAGTGCAGACCATCTGCCCAAGGCACAGTGCTGTACTTATTCCCAAAAGTAGCTGTGGACATTAGGTGTAGCATAAAAAAAAGTCCTTGGCCATCTGAGGCTGTGTTGATGCTACTGTTCCCAAGCCCTACTGACACATGCTGGGAAATATCAGCACAAAATATCCCAAGAAAGACATACTCAATGATAGTTTTTTTCCAAATGCTGACTACAGGGATGGACCTTCATCCCAGTGATGCACGTTTATGAGCCTGAAGAATAACTGCTGAAGTGTAGTCACGAGCCTAATTTTATTAATTGCTCTTATACCCTCCTCTGCCCCTTCCAATAAACACAGTGCTCACTTAGTATTTACATGAAGGCAAATCGTTCCCCAGGCAGAGGGAATATCTCAGAGCAGGGCAGCCCCACAACCTAATACGACAGAGAGGTCATTTTGATTTTTCCTTTTCATGCTTTCACTTCCCGTGGAGAAGACTTTATCTTCAAGAGTTCTCCTGTCCAGAGCAAGAAAACCCAACTACTTCCTGCCAATTCTGCTGTGACAAGAAGTCCTCAGGCAATATTCTGTGACCTTATGTTTTTAGCATCTTCCAGTGAATTACTAGGTTAGTTTGGGTCAAACTACTTCATCCCTAACAGCTGCTGATTTTTAAAGGAGGAAGCGTGTCCGACTGACCTGAAATCGACGCATGTCTCGAGGGTTTCCTGCATTTTTTAGGCAATTTTGGTTACACTTGAGGAAAAATTTCAAGAAGAACCTGCGGAGAAAGAGAAACGGACATTAGCGTCTTATAAACAGCATGTAGTAATACTATGTAACATCTGCACACTTGGTCCAGCAAAGCCTTATTTCCCAACTCAGACAAATCATCCCACTGACCATCCAAGGAGAGAGCAGAGCCTGCATGGGCCCCAATCCAGCAAAACACACAGGCATATCCTAAACATTTAAGCATTAAATTAACAGATTTGTTGTGTCAGAGCCATTAAAATTTGCAGACTCAGTCCCTCTGTCCCCACACTGAATGGCCAGCCTCACCGTGCCATCCATAGCAGCAAGGAAGTAAGAGATGCTTTTCAGCACAGCAAAAAGAGGACAGAAAAATGCCAGCCAAGAAAATTCCCTTATGTATAAAGGGAGGTTTGTTTTACAAGTTTGCTGTCATGTGCAAATTTTGATTTAATACAAAAATACTTAAAATGTTCCATACAGTTGAAATCTCCCTCCCACAATTAAACCCAGTTTGTGCATAAAATTAATGCTCAAATAGAGGCTAGTGGAAGACCAAAACTCTGAGAAGGGGGAAATTCTCAGTTAAAAGACTGACTTCATGGAAATATGAAATATTTTCAATGCAGTCCATTTCCTGACCATACACAGTTCACTGAAGTAGCTCTATGGCCCTGACATACATCTCTAAGAAAAGACATTGCATTGTACAAAGCCAAAGAAAAAAGCAAACATTTAACTGAAAATATTTCCTTCAGTGTTATGCATCAGTGGACTGTAAACTCATAAAGACAAGTGAATGAATAATAGTGAGTCTCAGATTCCAGACTTCCTCCCTGAGAGCCAAAGTTTATCAACCTTTTGTCCAAAATAAACGACAGAGTAAGGTCTACGAAAACTCAGTCGTGCAAAATTTAATCCTACAGCAAGTTTAAAATCTAGCACAACCAGACAGAGCAGCATTACACTCGCAATAGCCATCAGTTGACTAAGCAGAAGCTAATCTGACCTGTCTCCATATACAAAAAGTGGAGAAGGGAATTGTTTAATCCTATTTTACTTTAAATTGAAAAGTTAACTTTTGCAAGCATCCGTCCGTTAGCACCCAAACTGAATGCTAGGTCAGCAGAATTTGTACTCACTGCCACCAAGAAAGGCAAAACTGCAGGGTAAACAGCTTCAGAAAATCCTTTTTTGATGAGCAGCATTCATTCTTTGCCCCACTCAGTTGTGATGCTGCCCCTCAACAAGGCAAGTTTGGTGCTTGTTCCTCCATGCCAAGAAAATCATACTAGGCAAATGGCCGTGAGGACAAATTGGAACTACAAAGGGCTGTTTTCACTAAAGAAAAGTAAGGTAATGATGAGGATTATAAAATGTGATGCTTGGGATTATCAAGGACTGGATCTCCTGCCCCAGGAAGTCCCTTCTAGATCTGTGCTCCCAAATACGAGCAAGAAATCAACATAAAATAAACAGCCATCACACTCGCACAGGGCTTTGGAGACGCTATGTTTGTTTATGCTAAAATAAACAGGGGGGTAAGCCATTATGTTTTCTCATCAAGCAGGTTCTGATATTCAATAATGGAAAGTTGGTGCTATTTGTTGTCCGCGCGTGTGTCTTTTTAAGCCTCTAATGGCCAGCTGTGACAGCCTGACTCAGATTGTGTAGAAGGAGCTGTCAGCACAAATCTTGGCATCTCGAATCCAGACAACTGCTTGCCACCAGGCGACGGTTTGTACTCGTGCCAGAATGGATTCTGAGAGACAAGCAAATAGGGCATTAATTCTGCCAAAGAAAAACGCAAAGTGAGGAGAGTTCAGGATCTTACACTTTCAGATGATGGCTTTCCTGTCAACAGCTCGTCGTTTAGCTCACGAGCAATGAAGGGCACGGACAGCAGATCCCCTTTGCACCAAACTGGCCCTGTCACGCGAAATGCTGGCAGGATCCGAAGACCACCCCTCCGCGTGAGATTGCTTGCTGAAATGAAAGCCTGGCCATCTGTTGGGAGGCAAAGACGTCCCTGTCAGCTGGTGCCTACAGCCTCCAACAGGCCCTTATGTGGCAAAGCCTCTCGGAGCCACTTACTCTTTGGGGAGAAGCTGGCGTTTGCCAGGGGATTTTTGGCAGCTTCACCAAGCGCCAAGCCCAGCAGATGCCCACCCAGTCTGTCATGGCCTTGGAGAAACACCTCGGCCCTGAGCAGAGCTGGAACATGGAATAGTTAAAAATATCTGCACTGAACAACAGCATCAGCCATCCATTCTCAAACATGGGGAGCGCCGTCCCAGTCTGGCTTTGGACAGCACATGTGAGCGCAGGTTGACTCAAGGGCTCCAAAAGAGATGGAAAACTCCTTGTGAAGCTCTCCAGAGAAACACTGAGCCTTCCCTTCCCTGACAAAGTCTCAGCTCATGTGAGCTTAAAAGTTTGGAAAATCACTATGAAGTGTTGGCTTTTGTGATAGCACCGTGCTATGTCCCCCAAATTCTACAGAAGTTTAACCCAAATAAGCTGCAGACCAAATGAAGCCCATCTATTTAAACCTACCAAAAACCCTCAGGCAAGCAAGCAAGCAAGCAAACAAAACTTCCTTTGAATTAAATCAACTCCAGAAAAAAATTAACTTAAAAAATAACAGTATTTTCAGAAGAACTTTCAAGTCACCCAGCTTACACAGCCAAGTTTGCTCACTGCATCTTAAGTAAAAAGTCGCCAGTTTATGGAACACGTTCTGCCAAGCGCTGTATTTTTACTCCGTTGAAAGACAAAACAAACTATAGGCTGCTCTTTGGTTTGGAACACACCAGAGCTGGAGTCCCCCTGGCTATGCGAAAGCATCCCGCACTTTTCTAGGCAAGAGCAGAGCGGCTCCTGAGCTGGCACGGTGCACAGCGGCTGAGGGTCTCTCCTGATTTGGCAGGAACATGGATAAGAACAGATTAGGACAAGGGTAAAGTGGAGTGGTTTGATTCACGGGGTTCAGTCCAGTCTCTCGGTTCTTGCTTTAAACCGCTTGTTCAGGTGCCTTCTTCACCTCCAGTCCAGTCCTGCCAGCCTTGCTCATTAGCAACACTTCACTCTGCAAATATTTCAGATTTAGATTGACAGGACTGGTCCAGGAGAAGTACCAACAAAGCTGAGCTCTTTGTAAGCATAAACATCCATCCCTGCTTGTTTGCATCTAACTTCTTCACAGTGGGTTATTTTTTTCGGTTCTAACTTTCTCCCCATTTGGCAGGGCTGTACAGCATTAATACTAACCACAGAGGACGTATAGCATTAATACTAACCACTGGGGTCTGAAATTCATTCCCAAGATGAAAAAAATCTGCAGAACACGAGTGTCAATAAAATCTTCAACTTTAACTCTCTCTCCAAACTTATGTGACTGCTGAACACCAGCTCTTCTGCCACACAAGATTCAGTCATCAATTATACTTATTGTTAACATTGAAGGTTTATTTTTTTGCATTAATCAAACAAAACATATTTTCCGACTCCCTTCCTGACTACTAACATCCCTGGTGTGAAAAGCACTGGTGTATATGGAGCAGAGAAACACAAGCCAGCTCCATGTGAGTCAGTTCAGGTCCAGAAACAAACTTTTACAAAGCAATTGTATTTACTGACTTACATTGCTGTTAAACCAAAGAACTCTATGCTTCGCCTCTTATGCCACAGAGCCATGGTTGGAGGGCATGGGACTGCAGTTTGGGGGAAAACCAGTTAATTTTAGATTACTCTTAGGCGTGATAAGATGCAGCTCAGTGCAGCTGAGGAGTGAACTTACTGAGCAGTTAATCCGTGCCATGGCACTGTACGCTGTAGAAATATAACCATCAGGTAAACACAAACCTCCAATCTGAATCAGACCCAAAATTAACTTGAACTTCTGTCTGCCAGGCAGAAGCTGTAACAAATGGGCTATTGGCTCTTCTGGGAATGTTCTCTCTTTTTCTCACAACTTGATAGAAAATTCCTTTTTAGAGATGCAGAATTTTTTTCTAACAAAACTGCTGCATTCCCAAAAAGGTTTTGGTGTCAGCAGAACTGTGCTCTCACCATTACCCTCTACTTTCTGCTAGTGAGGGACTCTTACCCCAGCCCAGTATTAGCCCCCTGGTTGCCCCCACTGCCTTCCCACCTTCCTGCTTCTAAGACACCAACTTCCTCCTCACTCCTGCTCCTTCCATCCTCTGATTCCCCTCATTCAGCTGAAGGATCCAGCAAGCACGCTACCAGCTGGAGGTCACTGCACCTGTATAAAACACACCCTGCCATTCATTGCTGGCCATCTTGTCCATCACACTGCCAACCCTTTGGGTTTGTGCAATACCCTCCCCAGCAGCATCCCGTTCTTTGTCACTGCCAACTACAACAGTGGTTTGAATTAAATAAACACAGCAGAAACTGAAATACTAGCAATAAAGATGTAAAAGGATTTTGCCCTCCTACTTTTCTTGCCACTACAAATTAATATCCATGTTTATTAAAAATAAACTAAGAGTTAAATTAAAGAAAGCAAGTTCTGACATGATCTAGGTTGGTTTTTCTGTCACTCCCCTGAAGGAAATTTAAAGGAACTCAAACACGAAGGCTTAGCAGTAGGATTTTCTTGCCATTGCCACAATAAATACGTCTGTGGAAGGAGAAAAAAATAGTTGGAAAGAAGACCTGCTGCATTCCTGATGCTGAAGAAAAGCTTGTTTGTTCCCAATACATTGGAGAAGTTGTTCAAGAACAGTTCATCCATGTGAAAATACGACAGCTGTCGTGCTGCCAAGGTCAGCCAGACCACTGGCTATCCAGAAAGTCAGCGCCGGTTATACAATTTAAACCTGGCTAGGGCAAACAAAATAGACAAAATGCACCTTTTCTACGGTATAAACATATTTGATAGAAGAGGGCAACTTTAGATTCCCGGATGAAATGCAGAAGTATACGTGGGTTTGCAAAATCTTTAAAATCAAAATACACGGGCCAGTGCAATAATTAGCAACCGCCCAGATAAAAGGATTGCACACCCATTCTGTATGACTCATCAATCCAGCAGAGTACTCAATATGTACATAAATTTAAATACACAAGCAGCACTAATGGAGACAAAGGTACTACTCACATCAGTACCTCGCAGTACCTCCTTTCTTCAGTGGTCCTCCCAGCAAGGAGGATGCTGGGGATGTGATAATACAAATACAGTTGTCTCAAACGATATCTGATGGGTACTTTATTTCTGGTGAAACTTGGCATATCAAAAAGTACCGAAGCCAGTATGAGGGTGAGTCCACACAGGTCACCAAGAGGTGGACTAAGCACGCGCTTCAGCCATTTCATCTGCTTCTGCAGGGTTTTCTAGGTGCTTTCCACACACTTCTTTCCTCCTCAGTCAGTAACTTCTACTACACTTATTAGTAACTACATCTAGTTAGTAATTTGCCACTAAAATGAAAATATAGAGAAAACGCACTGTTTAATGCAATTTTATTTGGAAAAGTAAATAATCAAAATGTGGTCATGTCCCTTTAGAAATTTCAGGACAAAGCTAATTTTTTTCCCTTTCAAGTTGGCTCTTCTAATCAAAACTCCTATTTTACTATGGAAAATTCCTAACTTTAAAAACAATTAAGCTAAAATAAAGCATTTATTTTTCCTGAACAATAATTTCTTTAATTTTCTAACATTTTAAACTTTACTTGAAGGGAGCACTTTTTTATTCCACTTTGACAGAGAAAAACTGTCAAAATAACGGAATTTCCTACAGAAAATCTGAGCTTAGCCCAGCTCTACTAATAATGGTAGAAAAAGGAGGGGAAAAAATTCCTTAGCATTTAAGGTATAAAGATTCCCATTTACTAACAAGTCTATTGTTGCCATGTTTTATTTTTGGGTTTTGTTTTGGTTTTTTTTTCCCCTCACAGACCTTTTCAAATACAACTAACTGGTCATGTCGTGTACCCTATTCACAAAAGAAAAATTGAGACTTACACTGATATTTACCAACATGAGGCTGTGCATGGAAATCAAATATAGGCATGGGGAAAATCTCCTATTACCCACATGTTCACAGCTGGATTTTACTTGGCTCTTTAGTCAATAAACAGCAGTAGCTACCTTTTGTGGCATTTTTACAACAGGAAATTTATTCTGTAGAAGAGAAATTAAACACCAGATACAGCCATCTAACTCTCTTCTAAACATAACCTTCTTGAGTTGTCAAACATCCTAATTAAGAAAAAAAAAATCCCACGAATCTACTCTCCTTGGATTCAGTGTTCTCACTGATTTAACATGGAAGCAGAATCAGATCTGTATTTTGTATTTATGGATGCCAAACAATTCACTGGGTTAAAATCAAAACCAAACAGGAGAAAAAAAAAAAAAAAAAAAAAAAAAGGCAAAACCAAAAGCCTGGAAAATTATTTATTTTACTAGAAAATGTATATCTTTCTCCTGTGCTGCAGAAAAGGTCCAAGAAAGGCAACGTGACACGGAGAATAAGCCTCAAGCAGTCAGAGTCTATTGACTAAGATTCTTCAGGCAATGCCATAATAATAGAAACAGAACAGTCTACACTATTTTTGTGAACTTGCTGTGACTCCTGGAGCTAGCATTGCCAGGGGTTGCTGTTATCAATACAGTAAATACTCAGCTCAGCACAGCAAACAGCTGAGGAGGCACCCACATAATCACCAAACCAGAAGGTAGGACTGCCCAAAACAGCCTTAAATTACTCATTGCTCGCTTCAGCAAATGTTCCCAGTCACTTTTCCTCAGGTCTGTGTGTTCTGCACAGTGAAGCACAGCATATCAATTTTTCATCTTGCATCTTCTGGACTTCTGTAGCTCTCTGATTCAGAGTTATAACGCATCAGAGAAATTTAGAGTAGTTTGGGAAAGTGTGTTTGGCATTTTCTCCCATGAGTGAGTTAAAATCCCAGAGAGACTGTTTTGGTTTCTTCTCCCAGACTTTTAATAAGAAAAGAAAGAGATAACACCACCAAAAAAACCATCACAAAACAGAACTAAAAATAGTCCAGAGGTAGGTTTGAGAGCTCAGTTTTCTGTAATTTAATTTTTGCCCCCAGGTCCGACTTTTTAATTTTTTTTCTTAAAGTAGTGAAAATCTGAATTTTCTTTTATCTCCTTAGTGGTGCCCAGCTCCATTATCTAAAATTTTTATTAAATTTGAACTGCAGCTACCTTCC